TGGGCGAGGTTCGGTCATTCTCTCTACTATTTAATGTATTGGTGCTTTGTCTAGTCTGATCCGATTGTCAGCAGCCCAATCGCATCAGACTACGGGGACATGACGACGCACAGTTTATATGACTAAGTCCAGTCCGATGTCATTGGCCGCGTACCAATAACATCAGACTGGGGGGACTTCATGATATATGGTCCATTAGCATGGCCTAGACTGCTCTAACGCGCCAGCCTGGCCTAGCGCGCTCCTGCCATCCCTGCCTGGCGTTCCGTTGCCAGCCTTGCCGGGGACTCCCTTGCCAGCCTTGCTGGGGACTCTCCTGCCGGCCCGGCCTGGCGCTCCCTTGCCTAGCGCCCCTTTCCAGTATTTCCTGGTGCGCATCCGCCAGCCTAGCCTACGACGCGCCCGGCGCCTCCGGGCGGCCTTGCCCAACTCCTTGCTAGTTGGGCCTGAATTGGGCTGGCCCAAGGCCTGCCCTAATTCCCCTTGACCTAATTGTCCACTATAAATAGAATAGTGCCTCCTGCATGAAGGAGGACATTTTCCCTTGGACTCTTCCCCAAGTGGTTCAGCCGCTAGTAGACCTTCCCCCATGGCTCAGCCGCCGCCCTATACTCCGGCCGGGTGGCTCAGCCACCACCCGCCGCCGTCAACCACCATACACAACCACCAACACCAATATGGTCCTCTCCAGTTAAGGAGAACCATCTCAGATCTATCAGCTGATCTAACTTGTTAGTCGGAGTCTGCTCCCGGGGCACAGTCCCTGGGGCGGCTCTAACCCATCTCTCTGTTGTGACCTCGCAGATCCGCCTCCGGCGTAGAAGCACTTTCTCAGAGCAGGTGGTCGGAGCCGATGTCGCATCATGTAACTTAACGTATTCGTTTACTAGTTAGCTAAAGATAACTAGAACTACCGAAAGCACAAAGCAACAACATTCGGGCATTAAGTAACCCAATCTGACATATTCTATCCAAGCTATCATATAAATGACTAATCAGTAACATCTTGCAGCTCAAAAACACATAAAGCAGGCATATCAGGCATCTTCCTAGATCCTTTAGCCCTAACTAGCATGCAGTTCTCATACATATATAGTAGGCATATAAGGCATCCTTCGTAGATCCTTAGCCCTAATCTAGCATGCAGTTCTCATAATCATATCATATCATAACATAACATGTATGGGTATCTTGGGGAAAACTTACTTGAGCTCGGCCGGTCGCGCACATCACACATCTTGTTCTTTTTCAAAGTTCTTTTCTCTTTTCAAACTTCTTTTCATAAAAAAATGATTTTCCTTTTGAAAAAAATTTCATACCAAGTCCTCAGTTTGAGTCCAGACACACCCGAGAGCATGCCCGAATCCCTCAAACCAAGGCTCTGATACCAACTTTTAACATTCCAAATTTCAAGACCAAAAATTTCATTTTTGATATAACAATTTTAGAAAAACATTTATAAGAAAACATAATTAAGTCATCTCATTTCATAAACCATAATCTCACGTCTCAAAATCATATCATAGAAATAGTAACAATGTCAGAGTACAATCCCAAGAAATCTCATAGTGCGGAAATCCTACGTGTGTGTGATGTGCCGCTACCGCGCCGGCTCCTTACCCTTCACTGAAGAGGTACCTGAAACAAAACTGAAAACTGTAAGTACGAAGCTTAGTGAGTTCCCCCATCATACCACATACCATACAATCACATTACATATATACTGCCAGACATATCTGGGTGCCCAACCTACCCATTCGGTCCTAGTTAGCGGAGTGTGGGCGGGGCCCCGTATCTCCTAGTCAGCTGAGTGTGAGCGAGGCCCGTACCTCCTAGTTAGCGTGATCAAAATTAGGAAAGGATAGGAAGATATGATTCGAGGTGAAGTGGTACCTGCATAGCCCTAGATAGGTGAGACCTGGGGGCAAGGCCACTTAGTAGTAAGGTTTGGGTGGGACCCGTGGGCGAGGCCCGTGTGTTAGTAGCAAGGCAGGTGAGACCTGGAAGAAACTGTGGGTCAAGATACATGATTGGGGATTCTAGGATTTATAGAGCCAAGAGTGACAATGTGGATAGAGCAGTTTCGGTAGCCGAAGTTTTATACGGAAGTCGTTGGGAGCGACTGAGAGGGTGATCAGTGGTTCGGTAACCGGGTGGAATCCGGTATTCCAGATAGTGGACAGATAAGTTTGGACCGGGGAGGTCCCGTTTCTTTTGGAAGATAGATAACAGATAGTGTGATGTTCGGATGGAAGTAGTGATTGTGAGGGTTATTGTGTTGGGTAGCTTGCGAATCAGAAGGGCAAAGACAGTTACGGTTGAATTGGATAATTTCAGAGTAATGGATTTGACCCTGTTGCGCAGCTCTCGTCTGAGTCTAAACGTTCCAGGGATGAATTTTCTACTCGAAATATTATCTAAGCCTTCTGTCAAGTATAATTGTCCTACAGATGGTTATGCAGGGACGGTCTGACAGGGAGACAGACCAACATGGATTCCATCTTTAGAAAGGCAGAAGCGAGTTGCTGAAGCTTGAAGTTCGTTTTCTTTGGGAAGGAAGTTCAGTTGGCTCTCGGGTGACTTGAGAAGAACAGGTTACGCGTAGGACCATCAGTTGCGTTCTGCAGATCGTTAGCTGGATTCGGGTGTGAGTAAGGAGCGATTTCGAGGATGAAATCCAATTTAAGTGGGGGAGAGTTGTAACACCCGGTTCCGAAAGTACTCGGTTGTGGTCTCGGAGGCCAAAGGGAATAGGCGATTTGGTCTTTTATGGGTATCGGGTCTTATTCGGAAAGTTTTAGGCTTGGGGGTATGGCTAGGAGTGTAGGGCTTCCCGCCACTTTTTTGTGGATACAAAGTTCGTCGGAAACGGACTTAGAATGAAAGAGTTATAGCACTTTGAAGTTATTGCAATTTTAGTCCCTAATGGAGTTTTGTGACAAGGCAGCCCCATGCATGCACGGAATGCATACGTGTGTTTAGCTGGGTACGCCCAGCGTAAGTTGGGTTACGCCCGGCGTATAAGGTCATATGGACGCGGGTGCGGAGAGGCGTACGCCCAACGAACGTTCAGAGTTCCCAAACCCTAATTTTAGGGTTAAGCCCTATATAAAGAACCTTATGTCTCGAAGGCCAGCCTCCATTTCCACCCTAAAAGAGCTACTACGAAACCCTAATCCATATTTGAGTGTTCTTAGAGCTTAGAAGGCCACTAGAGAGCATTTTGGTGTTGTGGATCCATTTTCCAAACAAGAAATGAGCAAAGCAAGGTGGTGGTTCAAAGGAGAGGTTGTAGATCTGGGATTGTTGCTTCATTTCTGACTATTTCAAGGTATAAAGATCTGAACTTGGTGATTACTTCCTTAGATCTCTTAGGTTGAGTTTTTGGACCATTTTGGTCCAAAGGATGAAGCTTTGTGGTTCAAATCCGATTCCTAAACTTGGAGTTGCCACTCTCAGTACTAAATGAGTCTCTAAGGCAGAAATTTGCCAACTTGAATGTCCTAATGGGTTCATGCATGAGCTAAGACCATTTTCATGGAAGTTAGTTGTCACATTTCAAGTTTGGGCTCAATTGGTGGGTTGCAAGCCACCAAGTGATGGACTTTATGGTTTAAGACGTTGAAAAGGACTTGGATCTGTGTTTGTAGCTTCTGGATTAGAGCATTAAGTGCTTAATAGCAAAAGAGCTTAACTGGAGAGTACGTTGGGCGTACAAGCCCGTATGCGCAGCGTACAATCCAAACAGCATGTACGCGCTGCGTACATCTAAGTACGCCCTACATACTCATCAGATATGGGCTTGGCATGTTTTGGGTCTCGGATTGGGCCATGCATTGGAGTTTGTTTCTTTGGGCCTTAGTGGGTCATCAGAAGTCAAATAATTTGGACCAAGAATATGTTTGGTCTTAGGGTAAGGCCCATTAAAGGGATTGGGCCCAATTTAGCAAATTAGGCCATTAGTGGGCTTGGGAAACCTACCTAGTGTTGCGCCTTTTTGTATTGTGGTTTTGGGCCTTAGATATGGACCAAGTTTGACCAGGGGTAAAATGGTCATTCTACCCTAAGGAGGATTATTGTTTTTGACTAATTGTTATTTTGGGTAATGGTAGCTCGGGGAGCCGAGAGATCAGCAGTTCGGGGATCTGTCAGCTAGCAACGAGAGGTTTATCCGATGGATTCTTCAGGCAGCTTGTGAGGTGAGTTTTCTCCTATAGGAACGGGTCTAAGGCACCAATGTCGGCTCGTTTATGTATGTTAGTGTATACCAGATTTGGATCCGATGTCGGGGTTAGTCCGATGTAGTTGATATGCTTCCGGATTTCGGTCCGATGCCGGGCGAGGCCCGAGGAAGGTTTATATATGTTTCCGAACTACGGTTCGATGTTGGGTGGTACCCGAGGAAGGAAATGTATGTTTAGCTATACTTGTTGTGTTTGTGATACTTGTATGTTCCTGGTAGGGAGGTGAGTGTGGGCGGGGGCCCGTATCTCATCACTAGTTGAGTGTAGACGGGGTTCCATATCTCATTATTAACAGAGTAGGGGCGGGGCCCAGGCTAGGTAGGGCCTTAAGACTAGCAGTTATAGTGTTGTGTTTGTTTGTTATGTACTAGCATGGTTACGATTATATGTTTGTATGTGTATAGAGGGCGGGGTCAAAGACAGGCGGGGCCTGGTAGAAACATATATGTATACCGAGCGGGGCTCGATGCCAGGCGGGGCCTGATGTCGGATTCGTCCGATGTCAGGTGGGTACCGAGGTAGCGGGCTAGGCCTAGTGTTTGCAGTATGTGATTATGTGTATGGTATGTGGTAGATTGGGGAGAATCACTAGGAGACTCACTAAAATGAAATTTTTGGACCGTATTTTTGAGATGTTTCAAACGTATTCAACAAAGTGACAAATTGACAATGATTCTTGTATACTAATAAAAATATTTATGCGAAAAAGACCGAATATAAAACAGCCCAAAAAAAATGTTACTGGAGAGAAAAAGATCAAGTTGGCAACTCATTACCCAAACTAATGTTCCCGTTCCCCCACAGCCAATGCGTTTCATCCTTGTCGTCAAATGGTTTAAAAATGTAAAACATCATCACACACAAAAAAAGTGCGCAGGTTTCCTCGGTCGTATTAACCACCCACGGGAGAAATTCAAAGGGATCCGGAGCCATACGAAAAAACCATGTAATGAAGCTGTATGCCATAACCACGACACCAAACAGATAATAAGCAGTCTTAGCATTCCCATGAATCATACTAACCGAACACGCCATGGGTAGAGTAATAACAAAGCTACAAATAAACTCTGCAACAATGGACGATACTGCCCAATGCACCTTGTCTTTATTATAAGGTCCGGTTTCCTCTACATTTATATTAGAGACATTAGCCCAAACCTGAAGTAGGATCACAATCATCAAAACCAATATTTCCAATACATGCAAACGAGGCTTGAAGAAACCCCATCCAAAACACGTCAACACAATCACCGTGAATAGAAGCTCAATCCTCATAAACTGAAATATGTAAACAAAGACATCCCATCCATGAGAAGTACCTGTAACCTTCACATAATGTTGGTCCACGGCCACAATGACAAAGTTAAGGAAAGATATAACAAGAAACACACCCATTAATACATGAATCATGTGAAGAGATCGCCAGTACTTGAAGCACACCAAGATCCATATCCCTAGAAAACACAGATAGGAGAAAGAGAAGATAAGAGATGGATGCTGCGTTTGGCCGGCTGATAAATAGTTTTTAGTAGTGCCGTCGTCATTGGTGTTGTAGAGCTCTGTGCGGACATCCATGCTCACGCAGGAGAGGTTGCAATTAACAAAGTAGAGTGAACACACACTTGGATATGTCACATGGTACGATATGTTGAAAGAAGACTGAGGAGGAGAGGAGAGATCTTGGAAAGTAAAGAGGACTTTGATGAATTTGTTGTCCAATGGGCACAAAGCGTGGTTTCTGTGGAATTCTTGGTTGTATTCGTCGATCAAGTCATGCGAAAGAAGCATGAAACCCATACGTGAAGGATCAGGTTGTGGTAAGGGGAACGGGGAGGTGACAGACACGGAGGAGACTGCGACTGAGACGTAACCGGGATGTGAGAATCCGAAATTCGAGAATAGGATCTTACAACGTTTATCAGATCGAATCTTCATATTTTGGATATCTGCCGTAGATGGTGCAGGGAAGAGGATGAAGAGAAGGAGAATAACATTAAGAATTTTTCCCAAAATCGCCAATTTTTTATTCGCCGATGATGGCTGTCGGCGTTAGTAGGGAAAAGGTGAGAGTACCAGGATGACAAAGCAAGGTTTTTTACTCGGTGAAAGTGAGGGGGATAAATTAAATAGGATGAGAAAATGAGGAATCAAGATGGAATGGACGTTTAAATTTGAAAGTAGGAGATCAGAGATAAACGATTCCATAGGACCATAATCCCGATCTCCCTGGGATTAATATGGAATATGGATATTTCTTATCTTCAACTTCAAGATTAAAATTGAACACAAGTTTTGAAAAAAAAAAAAAAACCAACTTCACAAAATTGAAAATTGGTGGACAAGTTGAGTTCTGACCTTAGATTTCAGTTTTGGAAAGTGAAAAATGCTATATATTATAAGAATAAGTGCTAGAAAAAAAAATTATATTATAAGAATAAGTGCAAGAAAAAAAAATGAAATCTATTTCACTTTTGAATTTTGATTTTGAAACATTTATTTCCCAAAATCATGGTTAACCAAGATATTATTGTTCCATTTTTTCATGACTTTGTTGATTATTTCAATATGAATTATTGTGGTTATATGGTTTTCACCAAGAGTGATAATTTTGTGAGGATGTATTTGATAAAAATATTTGGTAGCTGATAGCTGAAACCTGAAAGTTGTATTTTCGTACTGTGAAAGGTATTTTTTTGTTTAAGTCAAACTTTTTGTTAAAAGCTACACGTTAGAAGCTTTCAAGCACTCGCGGCCAAACATACCCTAACTATTTTATTGAATTTTTAAATGGAAAATTCTATACGTACCACCCCCTCCCCCCCCCCCCCCCCCCAAATTGCTTTATGTACCCCCCCCTTTTGTAAGTGTAATAATGTGTGTGTATCCCCTCTCATTATGTGACGATTTATGTGAGTGAGGGTACATATAACAACATCATATTTTAATTTTCCCATGCGTAGAACATCTATGTGATCTTATTTTTATGGTTAATTACTATTTACTTGACATTTATCAAGGTTGTTAAAATCATGTTCTTGTTCGTACAATTGTACGATCATATGATCCCAACTAGGTAAAACGATCATGATTTTACTTGGATCATTTTTCGGTAAGATCATTGTAAGATCATAGGATCTATCATAAGATCGTTGGATCGTTATTATTATTATTTTTAAATTCTACTATTTTTTATTGAACAAACTACATAGAATATCCATTTTGAATTCTTTTTCGTTAAATGATGTATTTGGATATGTATTTTTTTTATGTTTTAAACTATGTAATATTAACTGAATAGTTAATTGATTGATGAAAATGTATTATTTATGTTTTAAGTTGATTTTAGTAGGATCTTACGATCTGATTCGATTTTGCGATCACGATCTTCCTAAATAGAAAATGATCATATATAAAAGCTCTATCTTGACAACTTTGATATTTATCATCACTTACAATGTAACAGCATAAATTATTGGGTTATTTGTTTTCCTTTTCTAATCATATTTAATAGTGTGTTTGTTGATTACAACTCTAACATAAAAATCAAATAGTGTGTTTGGATACAAATGTTTGAGATTTTATAAGATGTTGTTACCGACACGTTGTGGAAAACATTTCAAGCGTATGGTAAGGTTGTCGACGTCATTCTTTATAAAGTAACCAATAAGTTAGGGAGTAGATTCGGGTTTGCAAGATCCATCAAGGTGAAACAACGATAAGCTTTGTTATAATATTTCGCTCCATTAAGTTTGGTATAAAGAACGTATATGCATGTGTTGCTAAGTTTGGATAAAAATACAGTGCTTCTAAATAAGTGGATCTAGGTGTAATATTATAACAAAGTGTCGGTAAGCTTGTCGACGTCTTTCTTTATAAAGTAATCAATAAGTTAGTGAGTAGATTCGGGTTTGCAAGATCCATCAAGGTGAAACACCCGATAAGCTTTGTTATAATATTTCGCTCCATTAACTTTGGTATAAAGAACGTATATGCATGTGTTGCTAAGTTTGGATAAAAATCCAATGCTTCTAAATAAGTAGATCTAGGTGTCATAGGACCCACTCCTATCCGTAAAATTACCCAGACTAAGTCCGATGAGTCCTTGATTTCCTTATTTTCATCTAAAAGGAATGAAGATATTGAGAGGCATAAAAAGAACCTTATTAGGCGGGAAAGATCGATTCATGCTTAACTAAATAGCAACCGATTTTTCCCCAACTAACGATTCCTTAGCGTTTACGTGAGAAGACTGGGTGCGTTGTGGCTTCTCATCTGGTTTAAGTCCTCTTTAGGTTTAACGTCTCGAAATGTCAAACCAAATTTTTTCAAAAAAAAAAAACACAAGTAAAACACCCAAAACATTTTCATAAAATATCAAGATAGGAAATTGTTTTAAACATCATCAAAATGTACAAATCATCATAAAACAGCAGGAGTCGATGTCATAAATCAAAAGCGATGAATGTGCAGTACAATCTAGTTGGAGGTTTCCTGTGATCAAAGGATCTAATGAAAAACATCTACTCATCAAATATAAATAAAAAGCTTAGTGAGTTTCCCAAAGTACCATATAGTGCAATACACATACAAAGCATACAAACAAAGGCTCTTAACTCTAGTGTCGATCCATGTGATCAGTGACGACCAACAGCCCTGGTGCATGTCTAGTCAGCAACGACGAGTATTCTAGGCTCTTGACTCTAGTGTCGATCCACCATCAAGTCCTAAAACATACATGTCAACATTTAATACAATCTAGAAATCAACATGTAAAAGACTTTACTAGCTTACTTGTATAGTATATATTACATATACATACTATCATGTGAAGGGTATATACTGTAACATATAGTATAGTAAGCTAACTGACCTAAACTAAAAGCTGAAGAATCATAGCTACACACAGGGGTAAAGGCAGAAATTTAGAATAAGGGGGCACAATAAACTTCTTAACATTGGGTTTGGATATCACCATTTTAATTAATTACGATGCATATTAGGTTCAATTTTAACATTCTTATAGTATGTTTAATAGATTGGGATAATGGAATTTAGATGGCATGCATCGAGTGAGATGAGAGCTCCTCTTTAGTAGTCACACCCAAGGAACAAACCAACAACATAAGACTTCACCCATGGATGAACACTGACATACTACAAAACCCGAAATCGACATCTACGCCCCGTGTAAAGCCTATACACCACGTAATTGGGAAAAAAGATAGGGTTTCGAGAAACGATTGGTTATGCCAAATACTAGGTTTATGTATAGAGAATTACATCTCCACATCTGGCCTATGACCCCTCTGTTTATAGGGAAGGATTTAAACCCTAAAAGGATAAATATCCAGTCACATAATAATTATCCTTATCTTTGGTAATTATCTGCCTTTCCAATCCCTTTATCTAGAACCTTCTATATTACTAGATTTCATTTAATTAATTAATGACTTATATAATTAACAAATCAGGTCCCTATAATTATTTATGTGCCATCAGTTGCTTATCTATGTCCTTATGTGTAACCCAAAAGGACCTTACTATTAATAGTAATATTACCAACTATTGTGAATGTGGGCACCATATTCCAACAACACGGGATTGTTAGTTTATGTTTTCATTACTCGGGAGGAGAAGAAGAGGTCTATTGTCAAGGTATTTTTAGTTCATGAGATTCCTAATGTTTTCGTCTAGTATTTTTCGGGTGTGATTCCTAAGAGGCAGGTTATGTTTAAGATTGATTTCATCTCTGGTGCGGCTCCGAATGTAACGTCCCAAAAATAAGACCCAAAAATTTCATTTTTAAATTAATAAAACCAGTATTCTAGAACATCATCATAAAAATCCAGATAAAATAAATGTATCAATCATTACATCATATCGGAGTAAATCAAGAAAATATGGAACGAGGTGGTGTGTGCTCTGCAATCATCCTGAGCTCTTCCATTTGTAAACCGAAGTACCTGAAACATAAACTAAAAACCGTAAGCAAAAAGCTTAGTGGGTTCCCCAAAAATACCACATACCAGACACGCATAAATAAACACATAATGGGCCCCGCCCGACATCGAGCCCCGTTCGGTATACATATCTGTAAGTCATCGGTCCCCGCCCAGTAAACATATAACACATATAAAAATATAAACATGCAAACACATGCGAAAATTACAAAGATAATAGCATAACATACAATCATCGGGCCCCGCCTACTCAATATAACAGGCCCCGCCCAAACTCTCATAACGGGCCCCGCCCACATACAAATCATATACACTTAACCACATACTAGCATACAGAATAACCATCGGGCCCCGCCCACTAAGCATACAAGCACATACATATGCAAGAGTCACGCATACATCTAGCACACTACATAACAAACCATGGGTCGACATTGGCACATTCGACCTGCTAAACATAGTGAGGAAACTCACTTACCTGGATGGGGTCAATGGATGGTCAAGATCACTCATGGCCTAGGTTAGTGACCTTCATTGCACTTAGAAGGGGTGCTACCCTAAGGTCAGCCTAAGTGGTCGAACGTACATCATAATTTGTGGCAGTGGGAGCCTGGGTTCGCGCGGCCCCTGCACTTAAAACATAGTGAGGAAACTCACCTCCCACTTCTGGATCCCACGAATACATCTCTGGTTGCTGGCCCGCTAAAATCTCGCGCTATCAATCACAAAATAATCATCCAATCAGTAATTGGATCATGACCTACACTGAGAGTCCAAACTAGGGTAAAAGACCTTTTTACCCTTACCATAACTTCGCCCAATCCAATTGACCAAAGGCCGAAATTCCATAATAATAACTCAAAGGCCAATATGGCCCAATTTTCCAAATTAGGCCCAAATCCCCTATTGGGCATAAACCAAGGAGGCCCGAGCTCCTACAAGATACCCAAAGCTCCAAATGTACCCAAGCACCAA